CAGAGCAATCGTATTATCAATTCCTATTTACCAAAGAAAGACGTTCAAGACATATTTCAATATTACGAGGAAAACGAAGAAGAAGTGGAAATAAAAGATATCATAGAAAACTTCATTAAATCAAAGAATCCATCTTTCAATCCAACGGATATAAAAGTTTTTCTTACGAAAAATGTTAATGATCTAGACTTGTCTAATATTGATAGCAATCAAAAGAACTTAATATTGTTTGACGACTGCGTAGCGCAAAGAAATCAAACTGTTCAACAAAAATTCTTCACCAAAGGAAGTCATCACAACTGTCACTGCATATACCAATCCCAATCTTTTTACGGGATGGATTCTATGTTCATTAGAAAAAATGCAAATTGTTTTTTATTATTTGAATTAAACGATAAAGATTTATCTCAAATCATTCAGTCTATAAATCACGGAATGGATAGAGATACATTTAAAAAGGTTTGTAAAGCTCAATGGAGAAACCCAGATGATCATGGATATGTATTTGTAAATACTACAAAATCTGCGGGAGAAAGAGTTATGATCGATATATGTTAATTTTATTTTTTTAAAAATGACGGATTGGAATAATTTTTTAAAAAGAAATAGAGAATATATCTAAGCTAAGAATAAAATAAAGACCCAAGTTGAAAATAACAGATTACAACAACTCGGATTAACGGAAAATCTACAGACTCTATTTCAACCCATATTAAAATCTCAAGAGGATATTAAAAAGAAATTAGCTTTAGAACCCACACCTCATATAGAACCCAAACCGATTGAATATAATGGTGTTATAATTAGGACATTAGATGATATAAAACGTCTTTTTTCAAACCCTGACCCAGATTTACCAAAGAGCATTTCACCAATCGTTGATAATCAAGGTTTATTGTTTAATGGATTTAGAATAATATTTAGTGGAAATTCACCACAATTCAAAATGGACACAAAAGACTTTATATTTACATTAACGAGAGGGTTAATAGATTTAATGAATGGCGAGGATGTTGATATTGCCGATTACAAGGATTTAGTAGCATACTCAAAATTTCTACATGCGATCAGAAAGTCAGGACCCGAAACAAGAAGATTGAAAGAAGTTGATTTTTATATAACAAAAGTTATTCCTGAGGAAGAGGAATCAGATGATTATGCAGAAGATTATCCACCAATCATACAAGAAATAGACGAATTCGATGATATGGTGGCATCTGGACAAGGCATAACGTTTTTATCCGACGACAATAAAGAATTGCTTAATAGATTAGAAATAATATTAGCGGCCATGAAGGAAGGTCATCGATCGGACAGACAATACAACGAAGTCAATGCCATATTAAAACGGCTTTTGGAGAAAGAAATCATCACTAAAAAAGACTATATAAACGTCATTAAAAATGTCCAATAAAGAACAATTGTTCGTTATCACCTCGAATAAACCGGACATCAAATTGTCTCTAGACTACGAGTATGAACTCGATCGCAATAAACAGTACGAACTGGGATTAAAGTATTTCTCCGTTTACAATTCCATTAGAAACATCAACGAAAAAAACAATCAACTAAAAATATCGACGGATAACGGAT